AATATCTTAATTCTCAATGTTTCATACTTGAAAAAAATAGAATGAAAGTTTTTTTTTTTTATTACTATGGACAAAAATGAGTTCAACTATATCTCAATTCTCAATATATAAAAGTAACACTGTTTGGAATCCCAATTAAGCACAAAGATTTTTAACACTATTTTGAAGTCCCAATTAAGCACAAAAAATTTTAAGTATAAAAGAAACAACAATCTCAACAAGACTCCTACATGTGATTATTCCCATTTACTATTTTGTCTATACATGTAAATATGATAGATGCAATATTGTTAAAATTTTCTCCATTCACTTAACTAAAAGTGGGTACCTCAAATTTCTTTTTCAATTTAATTAAAATCCAAGCACGCATGTAATAGAGTTATCGTACAAATTTAAAATTAAAACAATTATGTACAAGATAAAACTTAAATAAATTAGAGTTTACCATACATCATATTTACATCATTTAAGGTTCTTCAAATTTCAATTAATAAGCTCCTTTTTTTTTTTTTTTCCCTAATCACATATTTGATGTAAAAATTTTATATTAATTAAAAAGTTTATAAATAAAAAAAAATATCTTCGCTTTCTTTTTTCATCCCTTATATGTTTCCTCCTATGAATGAAAACCCTTAAAAAAGCTCGTTTCACTTGTTCTCTCTCGCCATGACCTAGGCATGTCATGCCAAAAAGATGGATAACTTATTTTTTCCTTTGAAAAAATATATAACCTAAGAATTCATTTAATGTCATACATAAGACAATAAACTTTCCAAATTTTAGAAACAATTTTGAATTTTTAAGCGAATGAATCTTTAATAAAATTTATTTTAAACGTTCAGTAGTAGAAATAAAATTTTGTAAAAAAAATAAGTTAATTTTGAAATCAAATTATTTTAAATTCAACTTTTAATATAAATGGGTCTTGATATTTAAAAATTTTTAACAAAAGCTGGCACTCAACAGGGTTATTTATTTGTTTATATGATCAAATACAGCACATGGGCTGGAAATGCCAAACAATCACTAACATGTAAAAAAACATTCAGCAATCAAACTTATACATGACCATCGCATGAGCACAGGTGGAATGCTTTGTGTATATATGGTTTTATTTAAATATAGTTATGTATATGTATATATGTATATACTAAACTACAAAACTCAAAAATAGCTTGCTATTAATGGTGATGGACAGGTGATAATATTCCAGGGAAAGATTACGTCACTAGCAGACTGCTTTGAGATTTCTTCTTCAGCAAGAAACAAGTTTTGATTATAGGGGTCTGAATTAGTTACTTCAGATGTTGGCGGTGGCGTAAAAACATTGTTATTGTCTTCGACTACTCTTGGCCTCTTTCGAGCTAGAATTATTTCTCGGTGATCTGCAGATTCCATTTCAATTCTTTCAGCCTCCAAATCCCGTTCTGTTTCTTTTGCGTTTGATTCAGACTCCTCACAGAGTGAGGGTGTCGATTGAAGAGAGAGAGATTTTCTTGTTCTCCTTGAGGTTGTCCGGTTTTGATACTCCGCCGCTATTCTCCCAAGGAATCTTCCTTGTGCCTCTATTTTAAGTTTCAAGTTCCTATGAATCTTTAACACCAAAGGAAACATAAACTGGTAGTAGTCAATAATCCGGCGTAGAAGTAAAAACAAGACATGAATTTCGAAAAAGAGTAAAACCAAAATTCCATCTTATTGGAAAAGTTAAAAGAAGAAAATAGAAAAATATTTTGAAAAGGCACCTCATTCTGATCACTCAATCTCCTTTGTGCTTCCTTGTGCATTTTTAAGGCTTCTTTAAGCTGAGCAGCACTGCAAAAGATTACATAACCCTCATATATACATATATAAATATATTCTGTATCGTAAAAACTTGGCAAGAGAATATATTGTATCTTACCAGGTTGAGCCAAAATTAGGTAGTATTTCTGAAATATTGCTTCTCTCAAACTTGCCTTCTGCGAGAGAAATCAGGGAAGAGAAGCAGTTAGTTCTTTTGGAGGAATACTTTTCTTTCCTAAATTTTTAAATTCGGAATCAAAGTTTACGATACTTACTACTGCTTGATTCCAGAACAAATTTCGATATCCTGTATTTCTGAACAAGTTAAACAAAAATAAATTAAACAAGATTATTGGACACTGGTATTGATTTTGTACATATATGCGCATATATATACACACACACACACACATATGTATATGCAAGTGACTGAAAAATAGAACCTGCAAATGGCTTTTGACATGGTAAATTGTTAATCCTTCAATGCCCATAGCATTCAGAATCCCTTTTGGTGTTGCCCCTGAAACAAGAAACTTATTGCATAAAATCATAATCTATAAGGCCAATATGACTAATCATATTGAGAAATTTATCTGTGGGATGAATTCAAAAGATCGAAGAAGAAAAAATATCCATGCACTTACGATCAGGACCTCCAATCTGATTAACTGCCTCCTCAAAACGATCATGAAGGTCCTGTGTCCAATGCAAGCGTTCTTTGCTTGTGCCTCGTGAACGACTCGATCCCATGTTGAGCTCAGGCGACTAAGCTGCCCAAGCATTGCATGAGCAGGGGATTATAGAGGTAGGACAAAATAAATACTAAGACAAGAAACAAAAGAAAACAAACTAGGAAAGTGGCGAGTAGGTCTAAGATACAAAGAGATTAGGAAACTGATATGCCTTGTATTGTCTTTACCTGTCGGATTAAACCAAGATTTCATACTCATTGTTTCTGTTTCCTGTTGCCTTGACGATGAAATCTAAGAAACGAAACCAAAGGAAAGAGGTTGGGTCAACTTACCCAAACCCATAGTCAACCCCTTACTGAAGAATAATCATGAATATTAACATTATTATTATTATTTTAGGAGTAAATTAAATTTATATAACAAGAATTAAGAAGATGCCGCAAAGTTCATTGCATTTTTTCCTTTTTCGATAAAATCGGGAATTTCGTTTACTTGATTTGCCCCCAAATACAGTATACTATTCAATCCGGATAATAGCATTTCCATAAAAAAGGGTGTTCTTATTACAATTTCTCTGCATAAATCAAAAATATAATCGATCCGGATAATATCCTTTCCATATAAAAAAGGTATCCAGAGTAACCCCCGAGTTGATATGAGCTTTCTTAGTACAATTTCTCTGCATAAACCAAAAATTTATTGAGAAATTTAAGCATTTAGAAAATTCTCCTTCAGGAATATTTGTCTGTGTTATCGTTAACGCATTATTCTCTAGCTCATAAATTCTCAATGATTTTGAAACCAACTCCAAATCATACTCTTAAATGTTTCTCACTCATTGCAGGCAAATTTTTTTATGCACAGTGTAGTTTGTGAAAAAAGAAACTCATGTTTGATTCTCAACATTTTCATCATAAGAAATTTGCATTTTGGCTCTCAAAAGATTGTTCACTGGTTCACCAAATCTGGAAACTTTCATTCACAACAGTAACTCCATAGATCTTATATTAAGATCTTAGATAACCATGCCAAAAAAATTAGAAAACAAAATGACAGCTGCAAGATCATGCTCCGCTACCAAAGGAATACCGCACCAGAATTCACGTTCCAGAGTCCAAAGAGCAACAGAAAACAAGAGAG